AAAAAAAAAAAAAATCAAAATTAAATTAAACTTCGTACAAAGTATATCATGATAAGTAACGTTCGTCTAAAATTCGTCGAAAAAACTAAACTGAGAGTAGATTTTACATTTTCTTACCCAGCATTACATATGTATGTAGCTCCAAAATGATTCCAACAACCAGAACGAGACGGAAGATAGCACGGTTTTCCATGTTTTTTCTTCAGTTTACTCGTACCGTTGTGCCTTGAACGACTGAAATCTGCCAAATGGCGCTCTGTTATGTGAACTACGAAGTTATGAAACCTTTTGTTTCCAGAAAGAGCAATTCTTCTCTTTTGAGTGTCTTTAGATATAAAAAATCTTGTCACAACAAAATTATTATATGAAAGCAAAGACCAACGCGATCGTCGGCAATTTTATTATTTTCTAAGGTTAAACATCTTTTATGATTTTGTGCTTGTTTTCAAATTACCAGCCTGGAGTATTGGTAATCTGATATAAATGTGAAATGCTTTCAATTTAAATGTAATTCTGCACTAAAATTGCAGCCGATCGCGTTGGTCTATGGCAAACAGAATAAACAAAAGTGGTGTATGGCAAACAATAAACAGGAATAAAAGAATTTTGTATGTTTGATCCCGAGTAAATCGCCAAAACATGTCAAATTATACCTTTTGCATCGCAATAGTATCGAACACTTTTTGATGACATTGCTTCCAATAATACCAAAATGTGTTTTGAAGTTTAGTTTTGAAACCAAGAAAGTTTTGCTGGTTTTCCTTTCCGCGATCTCGAGAACGAAACTTTTCCTAACGCCGACTCCCTTAATTTTCATATCGATCCGATAAAGGAAAGCTGATTAAAAATGTTTGGTATGGCCCCGGAAAAAACTGTATCGAGACACCTTAAATTCATTTCTATCGGGCTAAAGGAAATTATACGCCATTTTACTGATTAACATTGCTGCAAAAAAACCTACACTTATTAAGTTAGTAGTTGGGGTCAGATTATGCAAATGAGAGATTGGTCGATCATCTGTTAACTTTTTGCAAATCTGCCTTTTTGCCGGCGCATTCATGTGTCTCGTCTGATAACTCTAGGACATGACGTGTTACGTTCAGGTGTGATATGAAATTACTCTATTTGTACGCCCGAAGGGGTCAACTCAAGTCTCAAGTCTGTGAACACTCAGTCTCAAAGCGTTGGTAAACAATTTTTAAGGTGGCTCGATACAGTTTTTTCTGGACCATACCTAGCATTTTTCAATTGGCGTTTTACCAACCTTTACTTACCCTGATCGATGTGGAAATTACACCAGTTTTTGGAAAAAGATTGAAATTTGGTTGAATGTGTTTTGAAGGTAACCGATATTTCCATGGAAACGATAAACCAAAAATGTGAAAATCGGTAAAGCATGAATTTTGAACTTGAACCAGATCTGTTATAGAAAACCTATGCTAATTTCTGAAATCACGATGTATGGCATGGGGAATATGCAAGAATAAAAAATTCTGTATGCTTGGTTTTGAATAAATGGCGAAAAAATTTCAAACCAAGCTGCTTTTTGTTAAATTACAGGGCAGCACAGACACCAAAGAAAGTTTTCAGTTCAGCAGAGCCTGTTACGGCTTCCCACCGTCAGTTGTGTTTGCCTTGATTTGCCACTTTTATTACATTTACACTTTTATTTGTCGTATTTCTAATCACAATATAATCTCATCCTAGAAGAGCTGAAATGACAGGTCACGTTAACCTGCTTTTGCTGTAAAATCAGGGATATCGATATTGCTATTATTCCAAAAATTTATTTCAATTAAGTGAACTTGCAGCCTGAGGCCGCGTCCACGCTATGCCGGAAGAATTTGAAAACGGAGGTTTCACTCTGGGAACACATCAAATGCTTTCCGTCCACACTAAGCAGGAGGAACTGAATTTAAAAACGCAACAATCACCGGTCATTTTACATTTTTTCAGGGAAAGCTCATGATCATCGTGACGTCATCGTTTTTGAAAAGTTCCGTTTTCAAAATGTCCTCTGTCCACACTGAAACAAAAGCCGGCGTTTTAAAACTCCTCCGTTTTGGAGAGCGTTTTCGAATAGCTCTGTTTTCGTGACGGATTAGTGTGGACAGTAGGCGCTAACCTGTGAAATAAAGCTGCATTTTCAATTTCCCCCGCGGCGTGGTGTGGTTGCTGTCTTAATCTAATGAAATTCTTCCCCATAGGTCGTCTGGCAGATGAAGGCCAAATGATAAATTACCGGCCATCACTTCTCGAGAGAAATACATAAAGGACCACAACAAACGAGCTCAAGCAATGAAATATTTAATGCATTGAAAAAGTTATTTTCATTGTTCCCATTCCTTCTCGACTACTTTTTCTACAAAAAGGACTACGCCATCAAGGAACGGAGTGAAAAACAAATCTGCAGAGACAAAAAATAAAATAGATAAGAACAACCCGGCACCGTCATCTCAGGTTAACAACCTTCTGACTTGCAACTTCAAGCTGTTAAATAGTGTAATATTCTACTTGGGAATGGTTATTTACGACATGGTGATAAGTGATGGGGAATCGCTCTGGCCTGACAAAAGCCCAAGAACCGGTGAAAATAGAAGCGGACGGCTAGCCCAAACCCGAATACTCGTTGGCTGGGAGGGTGGGTTGCCGTCCTCTTTACTTTCGCGGCCTCGAGTAGAGTGATGGGTTGGAGTACGTCTGAATTTCTTTATACGGTCATTTGCATACTAACCGGGGTATTAATTCTCAATGCAAATGGGGTTTCTAGAGCTAAGTGTTTCACTTGCCCCCTCCCCCTCGCCTCCCCACTCGCCTCCCCCCTCTTAGCCCCGACGCAGCCCAAAAGTTTCCTTTAGAAACCAATCAACGTGCATTACCTTTGATAATGTTTCTCAGTTTCCCTAAGGGAAGTACCTCAAAGACCCTGTGAAATCTCCAGGGAAACTAATCGGAACGGCTTTTGATAGTCCTCCTGACTGAAAGCGCAAGAAAAGGAAGAAATGTGATTGCTAGAGTTTAATTAATCACTCAGGAATTGTTTTCGTTACTTTCAGTTAATCAACTGAATTAGTCTTCAACGGTTGCTCTGAATATAGAACTTTTGATAGTCGCAATGTTTTGAATGTTATTCTCCATTATTGTTGTAGTTGTTGTCACTTGTCGCCGTCGCTGTTTTAACGACTGTTCAAAGTCATAATTCCAAACGGCAGTAGTTCTTTTAGCAGAGTTATAATGACACTTTAGTCGCAATTCTACTATTGCTAATATATCATTTACTTTTTTTCTACTTACTCTCCAATTTAACAATTTAAACTGCTGAACCGAAAGTGGATTTCTGGTATTTGTCACGGCCAAGGCGTTAAGGCTCTATCGTAGGATTTCTTTGTAGCGAGAATCAACTCAGAGTAATTATTTTCTGTCCACTAGAAAAATATATAAACCACACGGTGAAAAGTGGAGTAGGAATGAAGAGGAGGAACGAGGTCCAAATTTCATCTATATCAAGATCTTAGCCTTCCTCTTTTGGTAAATTGAAATATATGTATTGCAATAGTTTTCGGAACACTCTCAACAGCTCTCAGATATCTATATGCTGGAGTTATGTGGCTCTCAGCGTCTTTTCAAAACCTCAACCTTTGGAGCTTTGAGAACCTAAAAAAATCTTAAAGCCAGAGTAATTACTTACGTCGTCTGACGCAATCTCTACTGGCTGCATGTATTCATTGAGCTTGTGTAGAGCCCTGTTCAATCCACCGATTCTAAGAAATAAGTAAAAGCAAAGTTATAACAGGGAAAAAGAATTCTATTCAGTTTCTATCTCCAAACTGAATATGGCACACTGCGTAAAATTCGAGACATAAATTTTAAAAATATCCGTCGTGGTTCACGTTCTCCAGAAAACGCAGAAGTTGGTCATCTCACGTGAAGGGCAAAGAAATGCAACTAGAATTATAACGCACATACATAGCCATTGTACTGCTCATTAAACCTTTTGTGCAAACCTTATTGTTTTCTTAAACTCCCTAATATGGCTGTCGTTTAACCAGTGAAACTGCACTCTGTTAACTCTGAAAGTAAAGAGCTTTGTTGAAAATGTCAGTGACGTGCGAGAAGATGAGTCAACCGGGTCTTATATAATTGTGGAGGCGGCGTGGCCGAGTGGTCTAGGGTGCTGGATTTGAAATCTAGAGGTCTCTGGTTCCAATCCTCCTTCCTGCAGTTATCTGGATTTGTTCTTGGTAGTCCCGAGTTCAACCCTCCACTGCGTTGTGTAAATAGCTAACCGGTCAGCCTCCCAACCGTTGGGTTTCTTAATAATTTATGTAGTTCTATTTGCAATATTTGTTTAGTCATGTACAATGTCCCCAATAGACTGTTTTCGATGTATTAAAATTCAGTTTGGCAGTGAGGCGTAGAGGACACAAACAAAGGAAATTGAACGACATGTTTATTAATTTCTTTTGTTTTTGTCCTCTAGGCCTTGCTATCAAGCTGAATTTTAATTTATCGAAAGTGGCCTATTAGGACAAAAGTGCTAAATACACTTGACACTTAAATAAAGGTATTTAATTTTAGTTTTGTTTATTAATGGGCTACAAACCGTTTTGAGCTCTTACCGGCCTTCGAGTTTACTTTTAAAGCTGGGGCACTTTTCCTGTAAGACGTCCTGTAAAACACGAATAGTAATGCAAGTCAAAAGTTACTCATTCTTGTCCATCAAAGAGTTTCTCGAGAATGATTGATCCAAATAAGTTTAGCCTAGTGACGTTTCACGTTTGCACGTTCATCCCAACAAAATTTATGAATTGAATAGATTTGAAGTAAAGGGTTATGGAAAATAACTTTTGCAAAAAGAGCGACCATATATGTAAAATATTCGAAGGATAAAAAATATCTCAATAGCCTTCGCTAATATTCAGGCTGAATGACTAGGGGCTTGGCAATAGTTACTCTCAACTGGGCACCGAAGAAGGTGCAATTAGGGTTGTAGATGTCTGTTTGCGCCATTTCCCAGTCATTTCATGTCAATGTATGTCTGGATTTATGAAATCACTGTCACTGACACCGGGCAGGGGGAGAGAGTGTCAAGGGAGGTACCAGGGTAGAGGTCATGCAGGGTCCTGGCTACTGGCAGTTACTTATAGGTACCAGCTCCGGCCTGAACAGTTAAACCAGGGGGGTTGCATGGGCCAAAAAATTGTCTTTTTAGCTATAAAGGGTGGTTATATCCATTGTAGGAAGGTCTAGCTGACTGAAAAGTGTTCAGTTAGGGAGCAGCAGTTAGCAGCCACCCGCAAGCTAGGTGGGTTTGTATCTTTGCCAGTGACAGGTCGCGGCTTGTGAGTAACTGATTGAAGAAACCTGTGCATTTCAGGGAAAAGCTACAGGCTTGTTGTTGCGAGAATAACAAGGTTTTCACAGATTAAATGAATCAATTCCCTTTCTTCTGCTCCTCAATACCAAAACCAGGCGGGAATATCCTAGGATCGATATATCTATTTCTCACCTTTTGTCCCAAATATTAATTCTTTTCTCTGATATTAGCTGTACAGAAATAAGTGGCAACAAACCTGGGTGCACTTGTCGCAGAATTCGTAGAATCTACTTTTGAAGTTCTCAACTTTGGTTTTCAAGTCAGTAACTCTGTCGAATGAATTAAAAAGTCTAGAATAAACTGACTTACAATAGATTACTTTGTTAAAGAATATGGAACACTATCCTCTAAGTGGCAAATAAGGAATATTTCCATAAAGTTGGCCCCGTGCTTTACCAAGATTTAAACACCTCGTCAGTGACCAGTGGTCAATTCCCTTGATGAGATTCGCCTGCAGGAAATCATGGTTGTTGTATTTATCATCTTGGACTGGATGTTTGTTTTGATGAATACAACTACCATGATTCCCTGCAGGCCATTGTAGCACGCATAATTTACTTGAGCTGCGATTCGTAAACGCCAGCTCAGCATGCAAAAATATGTAAGCATATTTTGCTAGATTTGCTTCAAATGCCGTAAAATTTTACTTACGTTAGGATGCTTTCCGAAATATTTGCCAGACGATCCTGCGTTTGAGAAAGCAAACGAGGGAAACAGTTATTGTGACATCAATGAACTAACGAAGGCACGAAGGCACGAAGGCACGAAGGCACGAAGGCACGAAGGCACGAACGCCGAAAGCACGAACGCACGAACGCACGAACGCACGAAGGCATGAAGGCACGAACGCAGGAACGCAGGAACGCAAGAACGCACGAACGAACGAACAGCCGGCGTAGCCGGCGTTCCTGTACGAAGTGCTTTTTCGCATTCTAGCCGCGCGTAAATTGGAGCGAGAGCAAAAAATCGACAAAGCAGGGGGTGGTGGACGAGCGAGGAAAACCAGTGTTCGTTTCTCAAAATCGAGGGGTTTGCGGGTAAGCGTTCCCTCTCTCGCCCCACCAACCCCCTGCTTTGTCGAATTTTTGCTCTTGCTCCAATTTACGCGAGGCCAGAATGCGGAAAAGCTCTTTGTACGGGAACGCTTGATACGCAGACTAACGAACGAATGAAGGCATTAACTCACGAGCAACACTCCACGCACGACTGAATGAATATATATGTATATTACCAAGAAACTCACAAAACCGTGAGCACCAGAATTATTTATTGAATGTTATTGTGTAGCAAGGTGAAAGCGAATAAGGCCTGAGAAAACTAAATCACAAACGGTGATTTGACGCACTTGGCATCCGGTTTAAATTTCCGGAAATTTCCAGTGACTAATGAACAGCGTAATGCGGAATTTCCGGAAAAGAGCAGCCTTGTGAGGTATACCAAAATTTCCGTAAATTTCTTACCGGAAATTACTGTTTGATTTGACTTTCCTCAAGGAATTGTCGAAATTTCTGGTTGATAGGTTCCTTTTTCGGAATTTCAATAATTTCCAAAATTTTTGGGAACTATCCCAGGAAATTCCTCACGATTTGTCCTCGCTTTGAAAATTTCGGAATTTCTGATTGAATGATTTGGGGTTTTGAGGTTTTTTCGCATTTTCTGAACTTAATTATGATTGGTCAGTACACAACTGACCCGTCAGAATCAAATCAAAGTGCTCACGGGTTTTTGACTCGCACAGTAAATGATCACACAAACCAGTGGTTACCATGTAAAATGGTAACATTTAATAGTTTAATTAACTAAACAAACAAGATGTTCATAAATAAAATTAATAATAAAATTAATGCTTTTAAATTGTTAATTAAAGAGTTACATGTTGATTAATTGTTTCGTACAGCTTGAATATTAGACCTTTCAATCTCATATTCGGTGGAGAGTATTTCTGTATGAGTGGTATTACCACTACAAATTTGTGTTTGGTTTGGATCAATAACGCCAAGAAATTAACCCTTGCGTGTAACGTGCCGATACATTCTCTCTAATAGCGTTTTCATGCATGCTCTACAAGTCACTCTCATAACTAGCAATCATTAGAAGAGATACCCACTCGCTTTCCTGTACTATTCCAATTCGTCTTGATCTCGTTCAAGTCACTCCACATTGCGACAAATTCTTGCCTCAGCCTAAAGAACAATGATGGCAATAAAACTCTTTTATCATGCCATAGAAAATACAGCCAATCACAATACAGGAAAGCTATGGTATTTTCGACGTATTAGATCCAACCATCCCATCATGCGTCGCGCGTATGTCACTATGATTGTGTTGGGTACCGTATTTTCTATGGCACGGTATAAAATAGTTATCGCACTTGTCACCTGTAATGCACCTTACTTTGTCCTAAACATATAAGCCAAAGAAAACATTAAAAAATTAAGTGGATATGTTGTAATCACTTTCCTTATTAACTATTAGTCATGCATCCTAGAACACAAAAATGACTCTGTTTATTTGGAGCAGTGAAAATCTCAAAATTACCGTCTTTTCCAAATTTTGATTTAAAACGGAAGATTTCATGAATAAACCATTTCAGAGTTGCCTGTTGCCTATGTTCCGAAAGCTTCCAACAGAAGATGCGTTTAACAGTGGTTTACAATTAACATTTCAATAGTTTCAAACAAAGGTCCATGCGTTTTCACAAAGATGCAAAAGCAAACAGTACTCGGAAATTATCTACACGTATCAATGTATGGAAACTGCAGTAAACACCTGTACATATAGCTGCACAACAATAAAGAACTCTTTACGGTATACGGGGTCGTGTCTTTAGAAATCAGTATAACAATTACTATGCAATCACGAAGGTTTCTTTTTTCTCCTCTCTGTTTCAGCTTGAAGTCTATTCAACCCATGTGCTGATTACCACTTGAACTAATTTTTTGTTCCCTAGTTAGTGATTCCCATAATTAGTTCTCATTACTTCTCTGAATGAATGCACTGATATTGAACAAATTAATTTTTTTACAGATATTTTCATTATAATCTTGGAAGAAAAGTTTAATAAAGGTTTTGCTCTTTCGCTCCCGCTAAGCATCACACAGCCATTTGTAAAAACACTAAAAATACTCTGCTTTTCCCATTTGTGCTCTAGATTTATGTTAGAGAGAAACTGAGGAAACAAACTCAGCTTTATTTTGATTTTACATTTCCCCTGAGTGAAGTTTTTGTTGCTAAATTCCTGTTATTTACCCTTCACGCTGATCCCTTAGTTCTTTGCGGCGCTCTTTGCACCTGGAAGGAATTAAAGATAAGGTTTTCATACATATTCATATTATTATTTAGATATACTTATTTGTACATTAAATTTTATCAATTTGCCTATTATAACATTTCATCTACTGAACAAATTTTTTCGTTATTCTTAAACTACAGATGTAACTCTAGCACGTTTTGTTAAGAAAAAGCTGACAAGGCTGAGAAAGACGAAAATTTCATAACATGAAAAAACTGAATATGGGGAAAACCAAACCAAAGTGCTCACAATTAATATCCGAATTCTTAAGTTCATTTCTTACAATTTTCTTGTTCACCAATCCATGTACAAGCATCGTATTTTCAATTATTTTTAGTAGAACAGTGAACATGTACCATTTTTATCGTTTTTAAGGAGAGTCAATTATTATTTAACCTGCCAGCCAGATAAATTAAATGTAAATACATTATCTTACCATGACAAACCAGTATACATGTATACTACTCCAAAAATAATCCCCAAAACCAGAAAAAGACGGAAGAAAGCACGGTTATCCATTTTTAACTCGTACTTGTGCCCTGAAAGACTGCAATCTGCAAAATGGAATTATGGATTCGTGAAATGATCTGTTATGTAAACTACGCAGCTATGAAACCACATGGATCTAGGAAGAGCAGTTTGTCTGTTTTTATAGTCTTAAATACAAAGCTCTTTTAATGCACAACAAATATTAATATATAAAGACCAACGCGATCGTTTTCAATTTTAGCGAAAATAATACATTCAAATGAAAACATTTCACATTTCCATCCGGTAATTACCAAGACTCTATGTTGGTTATTTGAAGAAAAAAGAAGTACAAAATCACAAAAGATGTTAAAAAACTTAGAAAACTCTTTTATATAATTGCAATCCTTTCTGAGATTTAAAGCAAATATTTGCAACATTTGCGGTAGGACGACCTGTGTGATGCAACAATTGATATTCTTAGAATCCTAGTTTGGCCACAGCTTGTCATGCAATTTATGCCTAGCAAAAAAGGCGTGTCACTGTCGTATGGCCTTAATGCCCACTGTCGCTGCGGTCGAGGACAGAAAAAAAGATTATGCCTTTTAATTATTCCGTTTGATAGTTGCAATAGTTGTAAACTTTTAAAGGTTTTTAGATACCTCAGTTTGAAAACAGCAGCCTGAGTGTTATAAATATAGGTAATTTATGAATGCGGGCGCAATCAAGGATTTATACTACGTGTAATATTCGAAAATTTCCTCTAAATTGCAGGAGCCTTTTTGTTAACACTTCTAAGTTTTTAGGCCTAAGCTTTGCGTGTAGATCAGCCCGAGGGTCATAAGTATAGAGTGTTTTCACATGATGACACGG